AAATTGTTACGTCGTGGCGAACCGTCAAACTAAATGTTTATGTTTTTATTATTTAGAATACTTTTTTTCCACATAAAAATTTGTACCTACAATAATTATTCTTTATGAAAATAAAATTTATGAAAGATCACCAGTCTAACGAGACCCCCTTAATGCATTTGTATATTTATATGTAACTTTTTATTTTATAAAATCAGATGTTAATAATAATTGTTAATTTAGAGTACAGTTTTGCAAAAAAAACTGTCAAAACAAAATGAAACAAATTAACAATTTCTCACTGCATTATTAACACAGCTTATTTCAATAATATTACTTCAAACTATATCGTTTCAACAATATTGAAGTAACAACCTTGAAAATATTGCAGCAATATTCTTTTTGCAATTCTGTGCTATATGGATTATAATATGTCAATGTTTTTTTATATTTTTATTATTTAAAATACTTTTTTTTCATACAAAAATTTGTACGTACTCTGATTATATTAAAACATGCAAAAAATTTGAAATCGATAAACGTTAATTTTCCTTATGAACAAAAAATTACGAAAGACCTTATTTTCACCTTATTTTCGGCCTCCTAATGTAGGAGAAGACCTTTTTAATATATCTGGGTCAGGAAAGACAGCGCGAAGCGTCGCGCCAAGGAAGGACTATTGGATCAAAGTAAATTGGAAGAGATGTATATATCCATCAAAGGAATTAATTCTATAATTCTTGAAATCAGCGATTGACAGAGTATCCAAATATTTTTTAAGATTATAAGAGCATAAAATACATGTATTAATATTTACGCTTTAAACAAACTATTATGTGAAAGTTGTGTCCATAACATTCCATTTTTATTAAGCAACACATTTTTATAGATTATTTTATTTGATATCGGTTTTATTGTTATAAACAAAAATTTTTTAAATAATAACAAAAATCTAAATTTTTTAAATATAAATATTTTAAAAATGACTTATGTAAGTTTTATTAAGATTTACCAATTAGTTTATAACAAATAAATATTTTGTTTATTTACTGAACAATTGTCATACTGACAATGTCTGCATCTCAATGTATCTTTACATAAACATTTTTGAATTCATAAAGACATTAAAAAATTACATTAAAAAATTGAGATTTTTATTATATTGATAAAATCATAAAATGTATAAAATGTATTTTATAATACATTTTCATATATTTCTATTAGAGTACAGATTTAAAAAATATTACTTTTTATTGAAATAACTTTTGATCCAGATGGTTAACTGTCTAATTTTTTGTATTACTTTTAAATGCAATTTAGAATAATCTGTAATTTTTTTCAAGTAATTTTTCAAGTAATTTTAACATATTGTATTTGTCTTACCTCCTTAAGATAATTTTCAAATTGATGTAACATATTACCTCACTCTTGCAAATTTATTATATTAATCGTGTTTTTATATTTATTGTGAATATTTATTATCGAAACGTATTTCTACTCTAAATTGGAGAGATTTTGCAATCAAAATGAGTTGAAAAAAAAATTCCATTTAACAACTACTTAACCGAGAAACCTAGGAAGGAAATTTTAAAATTTTCATGTATAATATTATATTTGTATCACGTATTATTAAGTGCTAAACAAAATTTAATCTTTAATAAGAACAAGATATATTATAATTATTTTAAAATCAATCTCTAATTTTTCATCACATAGCAATTTTTGTTAACTGATTTAATCTTTTTCCCTTCTTTTAAATAAAACATATGTATACACATATATAGAGAAAGAATTAAACAGCGCATTGCTAGGTCTTGCAAGTTTCTATCTAGAAATCCGATTAATGCTTGTTTCTATTGATGTATATCTATTAACTTTAATTTTAATTTCAAATAATTTTTTATCTCTTTCTAATTCTAAAAATTAGAATATAAATATAAAAGACGAAGAGTAAGTTAAATTGAGTTAAAGTTATTTTACATTGATAGAAACGGATATAAGACAGACGAAAATTTGAACAATATCCTTTCCTCGTTTTCCCGAGGTTGAACAGCAGTAGGACGATACGGACAAAAAGGAACGAAAGTGAAAGTTAAATGATTCGTCGGACCAACGAGGCCAACGAGGTTGTTTCTTAAATTACGCAAATAATATTGGATATATAAATATCCTGATCCTCTTCGTTTATTTTTCTATCTCCACCCATTTGTAGCTCTAATATCTTTTATGTCCCTGCTTATTATCTTCATTTAATAAATAAATAAATAAATAAATATATATATTTAAAATAAATATAAATATAATAAATTTTAAAATAAAACAGTTCAGGATATACATTCATAAGACCTTTTCTTCCTAAAAGGTCAAAGAATATCCTTTTCAATCTTTTGTATTTATTTATAAGAACTCTGTATTCTATATATGTTTCTTTTTTAGGAGAATATATATATTTCAATAAATTAAATGCATCATTCTAAAATTCAATAACTTTATCCTGAATTCCAAACAAAATTTCATGATTTTCTCTGCTGTTTT